TTAGTTCTTTTACAAAAAGAAGAAGAGGAGGAGGAGGAGGAAGAAGGAGGAGGAGAAGAAGAAGAATCTGCTCTTTACCTACAGGTAAGGGAAATGTCCAATATTTTTCAAATGAAAAAGGCAAAGTGCCCACTTACCTTCCTGGCATCCTTCCATAGATTAGATGAAGGCTGTTGCCATAGTTGAATACGCACAGATGACTCAGGAAGGAAAAACATGAAGAGGGCAGCCCTCGCCGCTCAGGTCTGGCCCTGGAAACGTGCACATCATCAGTGGACAAATGGGAGTTAAAGTCCCCGGAGCTCACCTGAGAGAGAGAAAGGTCCTGGGACTTGCCCACCTAGAGCCCAGGACATGAAGGTGCCCAGGTGTGAGGACATCAGGAACGGGTGTCAAGGAAGCCTGGGAAAGAAAATGCTCTGAGAAGAAAGGAGGGGCCAGTTTTTTCAGGTGCTTCTGAAGGTCAAAGAAGATGGAGACTGAGACATGGCTGTCAGGGTTGGCATCATGGAGATTCATGGTGGCCTTGACAAGCTGTTTTTAGTAATGCAGTAGGGACAGGAACATTGTTCCGATGAGTTGGAACGGGGCTAGGAGGTAAGGAGGTGGGAAGCAAGCTTTGAAACGGAGCAGAGCAACAGGAGACAGGCAGCAGGTGGCAAAGTCATGGTACCCCCACCATCACACCCACACACCCTCAAACACATYGGCACAGAACCACCCAGACCAGCCACTGTCGGATCTCAGCAGAGATTTTCAGGGTCATGGCCACAGCGAGTAAAAGGTGGCCTATATACAGGTCCTCAACCCTGCTGAGACCCCCAAGCTGGCTCTGTTACTTATTACCAGTGTGACCCTGAGCAAGTCACCCAACTTCTCTGTGTGTCAGTTTTCTCACTCACAGAAGCAGGAAGAATCACACCTGCCTAGTGTGCATGCTGAGAGGATGAAATAAGGCCTGTGGGGCAGAGCCTGGCACAGASATGTTTCTGGGCAGCCAATTTAGGGTAGTTCTCTCACAAAATGAGAAGTGGCAGGGGGACCATAGTTGATGCATTACTTAGGAGGGTTTTTTTCCTGTTTTGTTTTGTTTTCCGGTGCTGATGATGGGACCCAGGGCTTCATGCATGCCAAGCAAGCAGTCTGCCACTGCCACACTTCCCCAGCCCAGGGGCCATTTTTTAAATTACAAAGTGGTGCTGTTAATTATGCCAGGACCGCAGGCATAAACCAGTGCAAATCCAGGACAAATGCGATGTGCCGTTCCCATAGTGGCAGCCATCTCTGTCCAGACAGGGAGGACTCAGGCCTGAGGGTGACTCAGGGTGACTAAGATTCAGGGATTCCCTTAGTCCGTAAGCCAGGGGGTTCCCAAGGAGCCTGGGACACCATGGGCTCTTGTCAGGTTCCTCATCATAGCAATAAGTCAATAAGACAAAGCATTTTTGTTCCCAGAGCCCAGGAGAGGTGCCACTCAGCCACAGGCCCCTGACTCTCACCAGAGGGTGCAGGGCACAGATCTGACCAGGGGACAGGCTCTGCCCCTTGACGTAACTCCAGGCAAAGACCTCTCCATCCCGCCTTCACCCCCCACATCTCCCTTGCAGGCATAGGTCTCCCCGCAGCCCTTCCGCCGAGGGCACAGTCTGGCCCCCACTGTGGCCCTCCAAAGTGCACCTGGCTCCGTCCACGCTGTCATCGGGGACCCGTGGGGGGGTGGGGGGCCGGGGGAGGCGGGAGCCGGCTTCCTGGAGTGTCCTCACGCAGGGTTGGGGCCTTGCGCCGGGCGGGGACCAGGATGGGCAGGGCACTGGCACAGAATCCGTGGTACCGCGCGGGGGCGAGTCAAGATTGCAGCCTGTCCCACGGCCGCGGCGCTTAACAGTTTGCCGAGGGCCTCACGCCTCGAATCTCATTGGCGCCTTTGTCACAGCCCTGCCCATGGCCACCGACGCCCCCATTCCACGGGTGAGCAAACCGAGGCCGGGCCGAGCCGCGAGCTCCTCGGGAGCGTGCCCGGGGCGCGTGCGGCGCAGGGATTAGAACCTGCGGGCGGCGGGGGCTCCGCCCCCGACCCTGGACCCTCCCTCCTCGACCCTGGACCCTCCCTCCTAGACCTTGGACCCTCCCTCCTCGACCTTGGACCCTCCCTCCTCCACCTTGGACCCTCCCTCCTCGACCTTGGACTCTCCCTCCCCGCCCACCCGGGTCAGCCCGCCGCGTGCCTCAGAGCTGCGCTGGTCCTCCCTCGGGCCTCCTCTGCTGTTGGCCTCGGGGACGCGGGGCCAGGCCCCAAGGTGGCGGTGCTGCTGACGGTAAGAGCGGGACAGGGGCGGTCCCCGGGGGTGGGAGTGCTCCCGTGCGCTCCCCTGCAGCGGGGCTGGGGGCAGGAAGCGAACAGGCGGCAGAGGGAGAGACACCCCAACCTGCCGATGCCTGCTCGCGCCTCGGTTCTTGGCGGGGTGACCGTTCCAGATGCTGGAAGGTTGCTGGACCGACACCACCACCCCAGAACCACAAGCTCCCGAGCTGCCCGGAATGAAGGGAAACGGGTGGGAAGGGAAGGGCATCGTAGGGGTGGCCAGCAAAAGCTGGACGCGGTCCCATCCCCGGAGCTGGGATCAGTAGGCACTCAGGAGACTGTGCTGGGAGCTAGTGGTGGGGGACTGCAGGGGTCCAGAACCGGATCCGCCAGTCCGCAGCTTGGTCTGAGAGGGAAATTCTTTCCCCTTGAGTTGCCTCCCTCGGGTGTGTCTGGCAGGCGGGATGGGCCTGAGCACCTGGAGGTGAAGGTGGGGGCCCAGGGGGCAGCGGTGGAGGGCTTCAGGTGGAAGCAGCTCTTGGGGCTCCTCTTCTCCCGGGGTTGCAGGTGATGCTCCCCTCTCCACCTCAGCCTCCTGAACTCTCCCCAGGTGAGTGGCGATCAGGGGAGGGAACCTTCTCTTGGGATTCTTACAACAGTCCAAGAAAATAGGACTTCTTTCCCTTTGGAGGTAAAGAAGCCAATTACATTAGAGAACTCTTGGGCGGCTTTCAGCTAGTCAATGGCAGAGCTGAGGTCTGACTGCAGGCACGACTTTATGGTCACTGCATGGTTCACAGTCCTCCCCAAAGGCCAGGCTTGGGGAGATGGGAGTGGGGCACAGAGGAGGGTCTCCAGACTTGAGGTCTTCTCAGTCACCCCAGCTGTGGGAGATTGTGCTTCCAAGGGGCAGGCGGTCAGGAGGGTGATGTAGGGAAGGGGTCCGCACCCTCCCTCTCCTGTCCAGGCCCACGCAGCTCCTGCTGAGCCTTCCCACCCCCTCTCTGAGAACTCAGCATTCACTTGTTTGCCCACTGAGCATTTAGTGAGTGCCTACTGTATACCAGGCACTAGGCACTAACCATGAAGCCCTGAACAAAACGGAGTTGACATTTTAACTGGGGCGCCAGACAATAAATATGAACAAACAAACAAAAAAATGATAAATACTTGAATTTCAAGTGGTGATTAAGAACTGTGAAGAAACGAAAGGGGGCAGGAGCAGAGCGACTGGAGACAGGTTCAGATCCAAGGGAGTCCTAAGAGGTCCTAATGTTTGAGCAGAGGTAAATGAGAAGGGTCCAGCTATGTGGGGTTCTGGAGGAAGAGCATTCCAGGCAGAGGAATCAATGTAACGGCCAGAGGCCTCAGTGCAGCCGGAGCAGGGAGAGGCAGAGCAAGCGAGTGGGAGAAGACAGTGAAGATGTCGAATCCGGGGTTCAGTTCCAAACAGTGAGAAGCTAGTGGGGGTTCTAAGCCGGTGGCATGAGTGTGACTGAATGGACTCAGGGGCGCACAAGCAGTAGCCTCAAGGCCAGTGAGGCGGCCGAGGCAGTGATGTAGACAAGAGTACGGTGGCTCAGAGCAAGGCAGTGGCCCACACATGCTCAGAGCACAGGCCCAGCTCCAAGGCGCTCACAAGTGCATGCAGGTCCACACAAGCACCTGAAGAGGTGTCAGCTCTCACACCCATGGCAGCGTGCCACGGATACAAGGTACACTCAGTGACTCACCCAGCCACACCCTGTGAGTCACTCCAGGGCTGGGAGAAGGATGTGTGATTTAAGGATAGACCAAAGCACACCTCACCACGAAGCCCTGGCAACCAGCATGGCTCAGGGTGGCCAGGACTTCCCCAGGCCCAGCATGGGGAGGAGGGGATTGTCTCTACAGAGTCCCTGGATCTGGTGACCTTCCAGGAGCAAAGCCATAACCCTCCATGTGCACTCAACCCAAAATGGTTTCCATCGTCAACCCAAAATGGTTTCTATCGTCACTACCCACTGGCCAGGAGACCTTGGAGGCTCTGACTCCTCTCCCAGACTTCGTTTCCTCTCCAGAGATTGGGGCTCATAAACCCCAACTTCATAGGCTGATGTGAAGGCATGAACAAGGTGACAGGCAGGTGTGCAGCACAGAGGGAGGGGAAAGGTGGAGAGCACAGGCCCTAGCAGGACAGCCTGGCCTTGAGTCAGGCTTAAGTGAGGGACTTGACCTCTCGGCCCTTCACAGTAATAAATAGCTGGCATTTCATGAACATTTACCATGTAGTGTGTGCCTTGCAATTTTATGTCATTTGATTACCAGCTTTTCATCTGTAAATGGGGAGCAGAGTCTATCTGCCCTGTGGGGTCATTATAGGATTAAGTGAGCTTCTGCACACGGGGTGGTTAGCTTCATACGTGGCTCATAGTAAATGCTCAGTGAATGGTCACTGTTGGCAACAAGCACACATTCCCTTCTGCTATCTTACTAGCTCTGACTGTGAGCAGGTTACTTCTCGTTGTATCTCAGTTTCCTATTGGAAAGGGAGGAATAATACGGGAGGAATAATAGTCCCAATCTCAAAGGAACACTGTGATGATTGAACTTGTCTGTCTACATAAAGACTACAGAACAATGCCTGGCACCTAGTAAATGTTCAATAAATGTGACTGATTCATTAACATGACAATTTTTCCAATCATTCCCTCAGGTGGGCACAGTCCCCCTTGTCCCCACCAGGCACCATGGACTGGAAGACGCTCCAGGGCCTCCTGAGTGGCGTGAACAAGTACTCCACAGCATTTGGGCGCATCTGGCTGTCGGTGGTATTCGTCTTCCGGTTGCTGGTGTACGTGGTGGCCGCAGAGCGCGTCTGGGGTGACGAGCAGAAGGACTTTGACTGCAACACCAAGCAGCCTGGCTGCACCAACGTGTGCTATGACTACTTCTTTCCCATCTCCAACATCCGCCTGTGGGCCCTGCAGCTCATCTTCGTCACCTGCCCCTCGCTGCTGGTCATCCTGCACGTTGCCTACCGGGAGGAGCGGGAGCGGCGGCACCGCCAGAAGCACGGGGACCAGTGTGCCAGGCTGTACAGCAATACTGGCAAGAAGCACGGGGGCCTGTGGTGGACCTACCTGTTCAGCCTCATCTTCAAGCTCATCATCGAGTTCCTCTTCCTGTACATGCTGCACACGCTCTGGCATGGCTTCAGCATGCCRCGCCTGGTGCAGTGTGTCAGCGTGGCGCCCTGCCCCAACACCGTGGACTGCTACATCGCACGGCCCACCGAGAAGAAGGTCTTCACCTACTTCATGGTGGGCGCCTCCGCCGTCTGCATCGTACTCACCATCTGTGAGATCTGCTACCTCATCTTCCACAGGATCCTTCGAGGCCTGCGCAAGAACAAACCCACAAGGACCCTCCCATCCTCCAGCAGCCGGGCCTCCACCTGCCGCTGCCACCACAAGTTGGTGGAGGCCAGAGAGCTGGGTCCCAACCCAGACGATGACACGCTGCAGGCTTCGGCACCCAAACTGACCCCCATCTGACCATGTCTGGGGGTGAGGTGAGAGGGGCTGCATGGTGAAGAGGTCCTGTAGGTGCTGGGAACTCCCACTTTGAACTCACCAAGCTCTCCAGTTTCATTTGGGGCAGTTATTTTTGCTGCTGGGTACTGTGCTGTCCACCTGGATATAGCTCACACTGCACACCCCCACGGAGGAGGCAGACATTTAAACAAGCAAATGAACCTAACATAAGCATGCCGGGGAGCGGGGCTCCTTCGTGACCCCTAAGGGGACAGTCAAGCCAGGCTTCCCTAAGGGAATAGCACTAGAGGGGTGAGGCATGCTCCCCAGAGGAGAGATGGTGGCCTGGGTGCCGCCAGAGGAGAGATGTTTGCCCCAGGCTGGGCGCACCAGGCTCCACAGGTGGGAAGGTCTCCTCCAGCACCGGAAGTCTGCAGGGGGTGTGGGAAGAGGCAACAGCTCTAGACACCCAGGGACCCTCCTCCCTCAGCAGCAGCCCCCTGCCCCCAAACCTTCCTCCAGCCTCAGTCAGCGGTGCTCTTGTCTTCCTCCCTCCCCAGGTGTTCAGCCTGGTGCCCTCTGTCCCCAGGAACTCAGGTGGATGTGCCAGTAGGAACACCCGCAAGGCAGCTCCTTGAAATCAATAAAGCTGTATTTTATACAGATTGGCTCCATGCTTGGTACTGCCACTCACAGCTCCCTGACAGCAGGGAAGAGCCGCGTGGCTGGTGGGTGAAGCTAGGGTGGAGATGGCTGGGGTCAGGCAGAGCTGGGGTTGACAGGCTGGAGCCAGGGAACCTGATACACATGTTGGTATTCTAGCCGTGGACACAAGAGGGCGCTGTCCTCCCTCTACAACCGCTCCTCTAACCTTCAGAATCAGACTCTGCCCTGAAGACACACAATCACTGCACTTTTCATTAGGCGAACCACACTCCCTCCTCCCTTGTCACCCAATCACTGCCATCACAACCTGCATCCCCACCCTGAGTACACACAATCCCTGCTGTTCACACTCTCATAACAGCCTGCATGCGGTCCAAGCCTCGCCCAGCAGTTCATTCAGCCCCTTCCATTTCCCCCTCACCAGACCTTACCAGGACTCTGAGACTGCATAGGGGAGTAGGACCCGAGCCCAAGGGGCTCAGAGCCCGAGGGACACAGAAAAAACTCACCTTCCCTGCCCCCCCCCCACGATGGCTCACAGCCCCACTTCCAGCGTTGACTGACAGGGCATTCAGAGGACACCAACATCCCAGGCTAGACCGGAATAGGAAGCAAAAGAGGGTACAAGGATAAACCACCCCAGAGGAACATTTAGTGACCATCAAGGCCAAGGTCAGGAGCCAGAAAAGCCAGAGCCAGTGCAAGCAGAGGCCAGGGCACTGTGGAGACAGGCTGTGGCTCACCTTTGCTATCCCATGTGGCCCTGGCAGGTGGATGAGCCAGCTGAGTTTAAAGGGCCCAGGGCTGGGCTACAACGTTCACCACACCCCCAGGACTGATCGTTACCTCTTCACAAGCACAGGTTCACCGCCCTAACTAACCTTGGACTGCGCTCTCAGGACCTCAGTCTTGGCATCCATACAAAAAGGAATTGGGTCCCAGCAGAAAACAGATGGTCCATTCAAACCGAGTAGCTTTAAGGAGTTTCCAAGAAAGACTGTTTTCAAAGGTGTGGACATGACTAAGGGAACCCACAAGGGATACTGCAGTACCTTGGGGCTAGCAGCAGGGTAACATCAGCCAGCAGCTAAGAGATGCATCCCACGACAGCAACCAGACAAATCCCTCCTGCTCTCCCACCTCCTGTTCGCCTGCCAGTGGCTCCCACTGACCCAGGAGAAATCAGAGGGGAAGGGAGCCTGTGAAACAGCCAATACAGGTCAAGCTCCCAGGCACAGTGGGGTGGAGTGTAGCTCTCAGGGGCAGGGGGACTACTCAACACAGCACTTGGGACAGTGCATACCAGTAGAATTGTTATAGGGATCAAAGGAGACACTGTGGGTGAAACATAAGCATGATGTGTCCCATAAATACCGGTGTGTGCCAGTGCTCAGGAACATCTCTGCCTGATGCTCAGGCTACTTGGTAGGTCAGGACTAGAGGGTCATAAAGTCTCTGGGAGGCATGATCTTTTTCGCCTACGTGCTGCTGTGAATTCCAGTATCTTCCTGGGTGGTTCCAGCTGCCTGGTCAAGGGTGGCCTGGAAGCCAAAGCAACCAGAAAACATAATTGGCCCTCTGAGTAGGACCTCAGGGCTCGACATGGGCTGAACTTGCAGTCCTGGCCACATTTCTCCAGGATGCAGGCCAAGACCACAAAGGAAGGAACATTCCAGCTTTGCACATCCCATCTTTGGCCTGAGAGCTGTTCTGAGCAAAGCCGCTCACTGATTTCATCCAGCATGTGTGGGGCTACTGTTCACCAGAACCCCCACAAGGGACTCGCTGTCACCACAAGGTGGCTCTCATGTCCCTTTTGGTGTTCTCTTCTGAGAATACACCTCTACCTCCCTGTCCCCCACCATACCAGGATTCACTGCAAGTCTCCCTGAATTGTGCATATGATGGATGGAGACGGCACATAGTCTGTAAGTCCACGTCTACTGCACACAGTCACGGCCACCCTGCAGCCCAAGGTAAACTGGAGATCGTTTTGTTTGCATTCACCTGGTCAAAATCCCTTGTATGGACCGAACTCGTACCTCTCCCCCAATGCCATATGTTGAAATCCTGTCCTCCAGTGTGATGTATTAAGCAGTAGGGACTTTGGGAAATGATCAGGTCATGAAGGTGGAGCCCTCTTGAGTGAGTTTAGTGCCCTTATCACGAGAGAGGATCCAATGAGAAGGTCACCATCTGCAGACCATGAAGAGGGGCCTTACCAAGAACCCAACCATGCTGGTACCCAATCTCAGATTTCCAGTCTCCAGATCTGTAGGAAAAAAGTGGCTTTGTTCAAGCTGCCCAGGCTCTGGAACTCTGTTATAGGGACCAACCTGAATAAGACACCCTGTCACCTCTCACCTGGATTGTGGCTTCCATCTCTCTGCTGCCTGCCCTGACTCTGGGAGGCAGATTCTGAGAAGAGGTGGGGAGTGCAGAGAGAGTGCTGGGGAGTTACCCCTGCAGATGGGAAACGGAGAGCAGGAGAGAGCCACAAGATCCACCACAGGAGCTCTGAAGCTAAGACTGGCCATGACGCGTCCTGCACTAGGCAGAAATGGCTGGGCCCTTAACCACCCCAGGGCTCCATTATTGCCCAAGCTCAGCCCAAGAAGCACTGGGCCACCTGGACAGCAGAAGCAGACTTGAAAGTGCTAGCCGTTGGAGGCCAGCTGACCAGACTCCATGCTGGGCAAAGAGTGGGAGATGTCCATTTGCCACCCACCCTCATAGTCTCTTCCTAGCCCAGTAGCCAGGGGGATCCTGTCAAAATCTAAGCTAGATAAAACCTACAAAGGCCTCTTATTTACGCAAGGCCTACAAGATCTGCCCCACCCAGCCTCCACTGCCTCCACCCCACAAGTGCTTTTCTGTCCTCACCTCTCCTTGATCACCCACTCCAACCACATCTTGGCTGTTCCTCAAGCAGGACAATCTCCTGCCTCAGGGCTTTTGCATGTTCAGTTCCCCAAAGAGCCACAACGCTTCCTCTCTTCCTTCACAGCTCACCTCCCACRTCTGCTGCTTAGTGCAAATCTCTCGTCTCTTCTGAGGGTGAAACTAGCCAACCTTGCACTTTCAAGCCTTTTTACCTGACCCTTAGCACAGATCACTAACATGTCCCAATTTTATTTGTCGTCCCCCAGCCTGAATGTGAACTCCTTAAGGACGGGGATTTGTGTGGGTCTCCTGTTAGGTCTCCAGTGTCTAGGAGAGTGTCTAGGACAATGCCACTGCACCTGGGAGGTGCTCAGTATATATCTGTTGTGTGGTGTGCTGCTAGGTGCTGGGATATAAGTGAGACCTGGCCACCTGCCCTCAAGGGGCTCACAATCTAATGGGAGCAGTATAAAGAAAAAGGAGTTGTTTGATGGGTATAGAATTTCAGTCTTGCAAAATGAAAGGATCTGGAGATCTGTTGCACAACAATGTGAATATACTCAATATCATTGGAATGTGATTTTTTTTTTTTTGGTACCAGGGATTGAAGCCTGGGGTGGGGGATGGGAGGCTTAACCACTGAGCCACATCCCCAGCCCCTCTTATTTTTTTTTTTTTATTTTGAGATAGGGTCTCACTCAGTTGCTTAGGGACTTGCTAAATTGCTGAGGCTGGCTTTGAACTTGGGATCCTCCTGCCTCAGCTTCCCTAACTACTGGGATTATAGGCAGGAGCCTATAATTTTGTACCTGGTGCAATTAAAATTTTTAAGATGGCAAATTTTATGTTTTAACCACAATTAAAAAAAAAAAAAAACAGCAGCAATGGACCACAGGCAGTACCTGAGCCACTGAGCACACACAGGTACACCTAACCCAGGGGCAGCGAGCGAGCAGATTGCTGGGAAAAGTGACATCTGAGCAAACACCCGAAAGACTGGGAATCTTCCGGAAGGAGTCAGGATCAAGTTCATGTTCCCCAGGATCAACAAATGAACACTGCAAACAAGGGAAGCGAGTGAGCAGGAATTTTTTTTTTAAAGGAAGGTGAAAGAAATACTCAGAACTAAGCACAGTGCACCTGGGAGAAGGAAGATCGCCATCTAAGTCTTACAGCTCCTCCTTTGGAAGGCACATATGAAGTTGATGAGCTCTTCCTGATTGGTTCTTTTGCTGTTGTTGTTCTAATTAGTGATACATGACAAAGGAGGATGCATTTTTGACACATCATACATAAATGCAGTATAACTTCCCGTTCATCTGGTTGTACATGATGTAAAGTCACACAGGTCATGTAATCATATATGCACATAGGGTCATGAGGTCCAATTCAGCTATCCTTCCTACCCGTATGCTCCTTCCCCTCCCTTCGCTCCCCTCTATCTAGTCCTCTATTCTTCCCCACCACCGTCA